ACACACACACACACACACACACACGAGGACTAAAAGTTCCTCAAAGATGTTTTTCTGAAGCTCACTTGTTGAAAGATTGTCTCGTCTGGCTCTGCTGGCTGTTCCCGGGTGGGTTCTCCAGCCTGTGAACAGAAAACAGCGAGTTCAGGAGCAGCAGCTTCAAAGCCTCGTTCACATTCACACGCTGCATCGTATCCAACACAAAGACGCTGTGATACGTTTATTTATGGCTGCTTTTTATAAAGATGCTTTTTAGCAAAGCTGCTGTCCTAATGTTTGCAGGAGTCGTGCTCGCTTTGAGTGGCATCTGTGGGAAACTTTCCCAACAGGTGTTTCATGTAAATGCCTCCGTTATTTGATGAAGACTCTGGAAACAAAAGAGCCGTCGCCAGCAGTTTTTTATTTTTGCTGAAATATGTTTCTAAGAAACAACAATGAGCTGTTTTAATTCAGCTCGTTGGTGCTTCCTGCAGTGTGGAGTCTATATTAGGCTGTGCTACTAATTTGGAAACTGCTGTTTAAAATAGACTCCGGATGGAGACAGGTTGCTAAAGCTAAGCTAACACCTGCTAACAGCTGTTTATGCTGTGAAAAGTACGACAACGGTGGAATCATGGAGCTGCTTTGCTGACGCTAATGTAAGAATTGGGGCTACATGTCAGCGTCGGTCAGGAGCTTCACCACCTTCTGGCAGCTTTAAACATCTCAGCAACTACTGGATGAATTCTTAAGAAATCTGCTGCAAATGTTCCTGATGCTCACAGCAGAGATCTGATCCAGTTTGGTGATCTCCTGACTGACCAGCGAGTGAAAGTGTTCCCCTATCCAGAGAGACATCTGAACATCTACAGGATCGTCTGTACAGATGTTCACAGCGTCCAGATAATCGATCCTCCTCGCTGAAGTTGACATTTGTGCTATTAAGCAAAATATCTCAACTATACTGAACTGACTGCCATAAAAACTCGGCACAGACATTCACGCCCACCTCAGGATGAAGTGCAACCAGTTTGATGACCCGAGTGTTCATGTAGCGCCACCATCAGGTCAAACTGTTACTCTGTCATTTACTTCTGTATTGCAAAACTAGTAAATCCTCCTCGGCTATAGTTGGTGGTTATCTGTTAGCATGCTAACATACAAACCCATCCTCGGGCATCAGATCCTGCTGTTTGTCAAGTCTTCCTTTAGCATCGGCGCCACCTACATTAATATTTGACGCTGACAGACTTGTTTTGGTTTGATGGTGGCAAAAGTCACAGGAAGTCCTGTTGTTATTATTTTTTTCACTTTCATCTGGTTTTGAGACTTAAGTTTCGTTTTCACTTACATTTAAATAAAATTAGGAACCAAAACTGCTCGATTAACGTTTTTAGATTTTGTTTTGATGAAGATAAGATCCTGGTTTGGGTTGAAATCCATCCAACACGTTACAGGACAAACTTGTTGCTTGTTCACCAGTCTCACCTAACCAGCACGCTCAGACGTCAGTAATCCTTATCATACATGCTCAGAACGCTGCTGTTTGCTGTTTCCCTGTGTGCTAATAATCAAACCTGCGCTCCGGCTCATACAGTCCATGCTGCGGGTTCGTCACAGTGCTGGCCTTCATGAAACACATGAAATTTGTTCCTCCAATTTACCAGGAACAGAGTGAGCTGTCTCTCTAAAAACTTGTTTTCTTCTCGGCTCCCTGCGGAAGTGAAATCCTGCTGAAATTTCTCTGCCTCACGCTGAACAAAAGCAGCCTGACAGGATACTGACAGCTGCTGTGATTGCTGTGCACCGCTGCACCGCTACCAGCTGACATCCACTTGTTTCATCCTCTCATTTCTCTGGAATCCCTGGAAACCGGACAAAAACTACAACCGCAATGTCAACGATCAAAGACCTCCGACCTGTCGGTGAGGATGTCCAGCACTCTCTCCGTGGAGGTGAAGGATCGATAGGTGGAGAGGAAGATGGTGATGAAGGAGGAGTCTCCCATGGAGAAGGAGTGCAGGAGGTGCAGCACCAGCTTCTCCTCTGTCCCTGCCTTCACACACTGTGAGCGAGAGACCGCCGACTGGAGGCAGACGGGAAGGAAACAGAGGTCCAGAAGTGAGAAGAAAGAACGTTAATGTTGTAGCAGATGTGAGGAGCTTTCAGAGGACTCACCATGGGACTGTTAGGAGCACCGTGCTGCTGTTTGACCACAACGGTGTAGATCACTCCGTCCTCCTCCTCCTCCACCACAGTGGACTGGAGAGCAAAGAAACCAGGACAGGACACTGTTCATGTGGCTGGATTTGTGAGAATAGACTTCACACCAGGAGGAATAAGCTGCTGGTGAACTGTTACCATATCTATACATATATATTATTTCCATCCTGTAGTGCTGACACTGATACGAACCTCCAGATAAAACTCTGTCGTCTATCTGAACCGCTGCGTTCGGCTCTTTCATTAAGATAAAAACTGAGATAAAATCTGCTCCACTAGAGACACTCAGTGAAAGAAAACAGAGCATAAAATCAAGCTGCTCATTTCTCACATGGCAGCTCCAGCCATCCAGGTTTGGCCTGAGGAACGTCCCTGACACAGTTACCCTGTTCTATACTGGTCCTGGCTGAGGCTAGCGTGCAACCCGGAGCTCCTTACCAGATCCAGAGGACAGTACCAGGTGGTCTTCATCGGTGAGGGCTCTGCCTGCAACACAAGACAACGGTGCACGACTTAGAACTGGGCCAATCGGTACCGTAGGCGTGAATGATCATAAAGTGTGCTCTCAGTGGATTTCAGTGTTTCTGACCCCTGCTCCATAGCAAACATGGTGGCCCCATGTATGCAGCATTAGATCCTCAGGTGAGGCCCGTCAGGCCGCTCCAAGGCCAAGACTGAATGTAAAGAATATCGACCAGGAGGCTCCTCCAGCTTCAGCCTGAGGGGATAAAGCTCACAGCCACTGACTCACTTTAAATCACTTCTTAACTCTCTGAACTCCAGGAAGGTTCTCTGCATGTTTTGCTGCTGCTGCATGTTTCCTCACTGTGGACTCGTTCTGCTGCAACATAAAGTCCTGGACCTCTACGGGAACAGCACCACAACGGCTAGAAGCAGAGAGAACTTAAACATGACGTCTGTGATGTGGAACAAAGTTATGATGCCAAAAATATCCTGTTTTTTTTTTGTTTTTTTTAACAGTCTCTGGAGTCAACATGTACAACATTTTTCTAAGAGCCCATAAGTGTTCCAGTGTTGGAAAATACATACTTTATCATTTACATTTTGTAAATGCAGTTTGTTTCCACACTTATCTCTTATCTACTGTAAACACAGCCTGCAGTTCAGCCCAGTTCAGCCCGGTTCAGCCCAGTTCAGCCCAGTTCAGCCCGGTTCGGCCCAACAGTCTCTGAAGTTTTGTCCGGTGACAGATGGACGCCGCTGAGTCGCTGACGACAGACTGCAGATTTTATTATTTTGAATGCAAACAGCTCATTTCCGGCATTTGTTTTGAATGAGACGTAGAATAAAGTGATTTTTAGGTCCGATTTTGGGAAGTTTTTCTGTGGAACCATGTGTGAGGAGTGAATGCCGTCATGTTTTACTTTTAAAAGATAAGACGACTTTCAAACATGTCAGCAGTTTTCAGGGATCTGAGGGTTGCTGCTTTGTAGGTTTTCCATAATTTTTTTCTTGTGGTTTAATCGTCGTGTTTGTATTTATTTATATTGTAAAATTGCATTTTGTATTTTTTTTATCTTGTTTAGTTTCATCCTAATTTCATTTTGTTCGGCCTCCCGGTCCTGCTGCTACATATGTTATAACTATTTATAATATTTGTATATAATATATATCAAAGCACTGTCCTGGTTTTTAAAGGTGCTGTTCGAATACACTTTATGTTATTATTTAAATAAAGCAAACACAGTCCAAATGCAGCTTGACCAAAGAATGAGCTTTTTTTAAATTTAACTCCTTGAAAGAAAAACTCTGCAGCTTTGTTTCTGAACATCTCCGTCTAACCTTCACTGGGTAGATGAACACTTCCTGTCACAAATCCCTAAAACTGTGCAATTCAATGTAAAAACCAACAACCTCTAATGTTTAATGTGATCCTCGTTGATGCAAACCAGCAGAACTTCTGTCCATCACACACATACAAACCCCAGAAAACGTCCTGAACACAAATAACACTTACTGCTGCATGCTTTGGTCGCCTGAGCGTGTAAAACGCAGTCTGAGCCGCTCTTATCGCCAACAGTCCGCTACAATCAATGCACAGACGTTTGTCTTGGCAGCGTCGGCGCGCGGCTTATCAGCGGCTACATATTGACGGACACGGTTGTTGGACAGCAGGATCCTGCAGCCCAAGTCATGCTGCAGACAGCGCATGAGTCACAGCACATTTATAGAGGGAAGGAGAGCGAGCACTCCACACACATTTGAATACTGTCAAAACAGGCCGAGAGATGAGAGGCAGATGACCTCTGATTCTACAGAATTCAATAAGATCACAAGTGGGGCGTTCTTAATGCATCCGTAAAGGCCAGCGCTGGAACATACATTTACTTAAGTGCTGCACTTTCATGTGCAGGTTTGAGGTATTTTACTCGCTATTCAAATGTACTGTACGTTCCATATGAGATAGCTCAGAGTTACGTCACACATGGATGTTTTGAATGCAGATACACATAAAACAGTGCATTTTGTTAAAGGCTAAACCAGTGACTGTGGTGACCCGTTTACAAGACAGCAGCATCCAGTCGGGGCTCCTGTCATGTTTCAGATTCAGAAGCCCAGAATCCAGGTTATCCAATATTTCACAAAAAGTCAGACATTTATTTCCTCTTTCATTCTTTCTATCAACTCTGTCAGACTATGGATTTAAACATTAGCCTAAACCGCCTAAACGTTCATGAAGTAGCTAATCTATCTGCACTTGGACCCGTAACAATCTAATAACGTCTCAAACCGATCACAGGGGCTGGAGTTCTTAAAGCTCTGGTGTTTTCAATGCCGTCCTGCTCCAGCGCTGCTAAAGACACACCTTGTCTGACTGCATAGATATGCACCTGTGCTCATGTTCATACCTGCAGAGTTCGAGCTGAGGATACATTTGCATTTGGTTTCCTACAGTTAGAATGAAATGATGTAAACAAATCCAGAAACACAGAAAAGTTGGACGTAGCTGCTGTGAAGGAGTCCGATGCTTGTCGGGGCTCCTGTCCTCATGTCTGGTGCAGTTCTGTGATCCTCAGATGATTTAATGTAAATGATAATAACTTCATGTATACAGCACTTCTAACAACAAGGGTTTGGCAGGCAAAGCAAAAGCAGGATAAATAACAGAGAACAAAAGCCAGCAGGTTATCTTCTGTCTTCTCTGTTTATCACCTCCCACTGCTCTGGTTTAGTTTTCTGACTTATAAAGTTCTTTCTTACTAAACTTCCACAAAGTGTATAAAATGGTTCAAACCAGCAGCATTTAGTTCACCGACAACAGAAACTATCCAATAAA